ATTAGTAGCATTATTGGGTTACTATAAAGACCAACAAATGTTTTGTAATAGCACTTTATTGAAATGCAAGCAAAAATATAAACTGTTTCTCCAGGTTTATATTCTTTGACATTTGACATAGTCATGCACAGTTGAAACTACATGAAGAGAGCTTATTTATATTACTTTCAAATTTTGTTTATAGTAGTTTTTCAAAATATGTTATATAAGCTAGACAAATATATGTCATAGGTCTCTTTTAATATTAGGTCTATCATTGATTGTCAAATAATCTAAATAATAATTGTTCCAATAAACTTTACTTCATAATCAAAATGCAAGATAAAAAAGAATAGATTTGAATAGAAGCAATGATTTTTCCAGAATTTGATGCATCTGTGTCAAGTCATTTAAGCAAGGGTATTGTTCATGGTAATTCATGCAATTATAAGGACAAAATAATTATCATAATTCAACTAGGCTCAGTTATTTGACTTCAAGAGATGAGGTCAAGAAACAAATTAACCAGGCTTAATAAAATTATTTTAATATCATTGAGAATTTGTGGTGAGTTGTGAGAAATTTTACATTAGATATAGATTTTTAATGATTTTTGATTCCACATTTTTTTTTTTTGGTGTTGTCTTTTTTGTGTATATTGGACTCCCTCTGGAAATAAATCCTGTTTTGGGATTTAGAGGTTATCCCAGATATCAACATTGATGACTGGCTTGTTTTCTCATTTTTGTTTCTCTGTATTCTGTTTTTCCAGTTTGTTGATATTTTGTTGTTGATATCTAATAAATCAAATCAAATCAAGTCTTTAAGTATCTTCTTAATTTGTTGTCATTGAGAGTTTACCAACAGGAAGATGGCCTTTCCTATTATTTGACAAGTCATTCAGCCCTACAGGCAAAAATATTATAATAGAAAAATTAGGTATTCACTAATAATCATTTCCCGGCCCTGCATATTTTAGATAATTTAATTATTTTTAAATAATTAAATGACACCCACGTGGCTGAAACAACAGATAAATTGTATGAAAATACTTAATTGGAATACATCAATTTACCTATCCAAATAATACTATTGTGAGTGTCAATCCCTATTAGTCTGGTCTTAAAGCACCATTTTGGGTCATACTAAGCCATAGAAACTATTCCCATCAACCTGGGATTTTCTTCTGGAACCCTGACGAAGGTTCTAGTCAGGCCCTTTTTTTCGGATCCCCGTCAGCAAATTTCTAGAGTAGAGTCACCACTGTCCTTCATGTAGGGCTTCACTCAAGTTCATGAGAGAGAGAGCACATGTAGTATAAAATAAAAATAAATAAAAAAAAGTGTCCCCAATTGGATTAGGGAATGTGAGGCACTTACTGAGATTGGGAGGGTGGCCACTGCCCTAGTGAGTAAGAAGTACATTTGGAAAAACCTCAGAGGATTTCATATTGTAGGCTTAAATTGTTGCATGTCTGTAGTTTTTTGTAGATCATAATTTCCAAAAATGAATTTAGATCTTTTATTTTTTATTTAAATGTTTCTGATTCTTTGATCAATATTATTTTTAAAGCAAATCGCTCATGTTTGGTGAGACGGAAGGACTATGGCATAAATTAATAATGCCCCGAACTAAATTCAATCAGGGGCCGGGGGGAAATGCTCCAAAGCATTGCATTGTGCATTTGAATAATCAATTTTAGAACATCTTATACGATATGGAAGGAATCAAATCATTTAAGTCGATATCATTCATTTTCTAATGAATAAATTATTTGAATAAAGCATTACATGTAAACCAAACAATATTTATTCCACTATAATATAATTATTGTGTTTACACTACAGATAACTTCAAACAGAAACACAATTTTTTGTCACACTGGTGTCCATAAGCATGGATATGATTTTCTTGATGAAGTAAATAATGTAAAAAAAAGTATTTCAATCTGACATTTTTTTTCTTCATTGTTCCCTTCACTATCTTCCTTTATATTATTATTTGTATTTTTTTTTATTGCAACAACCTTTTATAGAGGGTGATCCTTCCAACTAGGCTTATCATCATCATCATCATCAAATCTTTATTTCAGCAATTTAAGAGCCATATAAAATACATACAAAAACAACACGACAAAAGCAGAAAACAGAAACAATATCCAGGGCCCTCTAAAGGGCATTTATGCAATTGTTGCATGTACTGTATGTTCTGATATACATTTTCATATAAGTGACATTGGGTGACGTCAAATGAAAACTAGACATAACATTTTTGTGGAACAATACATGTATTGATTAGTTTTATTTTGTGTCATCCATAAATGTATACTGTGTATGTATAATTCATGTATGCATTCACAGCAATACTCTTCAGCAATACTCTTCAATAATACTCATAATGAACTTAATTTTATAGTGCCTAATACTGATGGCAATTTTATTCTAAGCTGGTGTATTCATATTGAAATTTTTCTTCATTTTTTGTTTGAAATTTTGAAAAGAACACAAACTAACAAAAATTAATACAAGAAAAATACATTAAAAGGAATGTCCTGAGCAATGTATCTACTATCATACAGTAAGAAATCTGGAAGCTATTGGAATATACCGTAGCTGATATCTTTGGTTCCTTGTCACAAAGTTCAACTTTTAAAAATAGATTTTGTAATATATCATAAAAGTAAATGTGTAGATATAAGCATATTTTTTCATGCATGCTCCCAATTTTGGCTGAAATTTTGTAGCAGACCGGTTTTCAAACTTTTTGACCAATGACTTAAACAAACGTCAACTCAAGTTGCCGCAACCCACTTCCCGAGATGCTAAACATAATATTCATAATGTGTCATTAACTGGAAAACAAAAGTTATGTTCAGATGGCTTTTCGTCTGAACTAAAGTTACGACAAACATATTTTACGCACGCGTTACTTCCGAAGAGTGTCCACGCGATGCTAACCAAACGCATAATGTTGGTTTTACTTTAAAGCTAGTTCAAAGCTTAGAAGTAATATGCAAATTTTCCCAGAAGTGATAATCGCCAATTCGTTGTCTCTTAACGGTAATTTTGCACAAAAAAATCTTGAAATTGTAAACAATTATAAAAACATCATTCTACAAAGGTTTACACATCACATAAAATGTTATTTTGGCACTCATTTGTAGGTATTTATCTTTTGTAAACAAAATTGAGGTCAAAATAAGGGTTGCATTTACTTGCGAGCTCTGAAGTAAGTGCGTCTACACGGCGCTACTCTGAGTGCGTATCCCTTATCTTCCTTTAGTACGTGGAAGTAGCACACTTACTCCTGAGACTGCTCAGAAGTAAATCGTCTGTAGTACAGTTAAAGTAACTTAATACAAAGAGCGTCTTCACGGGCACTACCCACGGCTTACAACAAGTAAACTGCTACTTCAAAGCTTACTTCTGACTCGTCTGAACGTGCCTAATATTGAAGTAAAATTCTTATCACACTTGGTATATGCTCTCCTTCTTTCTTTACAGCAAATTTTAGCTTGATGTAAAAGTCAATACAAAAAAGTACAAGTCTCGTGACCCAATGTTTGAGAACCGCTGGCCTAAACTGTATTTTTCAAATGTCATCACAAATTCAATCAGTGCTTGAAATAAATACCTGCTTTGAACACCCACCTTGAATATGCGCCTCCTCTAGAGACACATTTGGAATAAATGCCTTCCTTGAATAAGCTCTGGGTGTTTATTTTTTTCTCCAATAAACGCCCCCGAAATGACTGTAAATAAATTGAATGGAAGCAACATCATTCTCAACACATTCTATTAACTCGAGTAGAATTACATTTTGTCTAACCTGGTTGGGATCAATAAGTTTTTATGATTGTACAATAACACATTTCGACGGTAATTAGAGGTATGTGTCAAGGTTTCACATTTACATTGAAATTAAGTGACAGTTATATAAGTATGCATTTGTATCCATTTTAAAGTACACCAAAAAATAAAAAATAAATGCCTCCCTCGCATAAACGCCTCCCTCAAAAACCATTCTGAACTATGAATGCCCCAGGGCATTTATTTAAATAAATATGGTATGATTTTAGTCTTTATTAGTTTGGCAGCAGTGGGTATGTAGGAGTACTGGTACTCTATTGAGGGGCTGAAAAGCGCTTGAGGGTTAAGAGGGTGGCGTGAATGATAACTTGGGAAATACGATTGCATGAGGTGGTTTTTTGCAATTTTCTAAACTCAGCAAATGTCAAGTAAAAGAACCTAGGGGAGGGTTGGGGGTGCAAAATTTTTTCGAGTGAGTGAGGTGCATCTTCCACATTACCCTTAGATATACCACTGGCTGTCTGACTTTTATGCTTTACTTTGGTTTATAGGTACAGATAATTTTAATATTCTATTTATAATATTCAATCAATTAATCAGTCAATCAAATTCTTTCATTCATCATCAATAGATTCCATATAAACAAATACCAAATGCGAGGATTAGATAATAATAACAAATATGAATATTAAAATATATGCAAATGATATAGATGATGAAATAGACCCCTAAGAAACTCCAGGGAGCTTGTAAATTGAAAGCCCATCAAACTGATGCTTTATCCAAAAATATAAGGGTGGGGGACAGAGTGTATTTACAAATTACATACCTATTGTGAATGGAGTCAGATTCCAAATATTAACGATTCTCCAATAAATCAGTTTACATTCTAGGCTATAGCATCAAATTCTATTGTTGCCTTGGAATTTGATGAAGCTGTATAAATATAAAGCTTAACAGCAGTTTTAACTGACACCAAATGCTAGTAGTAAATGTAAATTGGTTTTTCCTACCTGTATTATTTGATTTAATTTGTTTTCTTTCAATTGAACTTTGAAAAGCAATCCAAATAATAATGGTTTATGTAAAAATTAAATGTAATTTTCAACATTTTGAATTATTTAAAAAAAATTAAATTGTTAATTACAGATTGATTGTCTAAATAAATAGGCCTACTAATTATAACTTTGTTTTCTTTCTTTGATTGGTTAGATGTACCAGTTTTTCTTGAACTACTGATCTCATTGGCTAGTATCGTGTCTGTTGTGATCTTTGTCTTGCTTTGCGGATTGTGTGACTGCTTTAGTGGAAAGAAACAAGCAGAGAAGCAGTTTCTATTTGACGACGAGGAAAGAGGCCCTGAGAGGAAATCAGCATCAGTAAGACCCATGAAACGAACACCAATGCTTACGAGAAAAACAATCAAGTAAGGATATTTTGCAGAATACTTTAATTTCCTAGAATCGGAGTTAAAATGATCGTATTGATTTACAATTGCTGCATTACATAGACTTTAGGAAATCGGTTTTAAGCCAAACAAACAGGTCTCTTTTGCATGCATTTATTATAATATTATTACTGTTTTCTGTATTTCTTAATTTTATGTCTATTTGTTACATTGATCATATTACAGGTATTAGCATTAAAGCAATATGCCAAAAACAAAAATATACAGTAATTTAAAATTTCTATTCGATATGTGGTGCAGGTCGAGTGGCTTTAAATTTTACCCACAAATAGACATAATTTTTAGGCCATAAGAAAAATAATAAGTGTTCATTATATATTAATGGTATTCATGAACATTTTAAGATTGTGTTTTTTTTTCAGGTGGGTTAGATTTCTGTGCACTATGAGGCTATATTATTTGCTTATTAAATATTAAATGAATCACTATAATATTTTAACACATAGTTAATGTTAATGACATATTTTAAGCAGGCGACATACAGCAGGCGTTGAGATTCAGGTGATGTTTTCATTAAATAACCAACAGGATTCAACTTGACTGTTAATGCCAGTTGTCTATCCGTAACTGGACTGATAAATGGTTATGGTTTATGTTGATCACATGTTGAAGAAGAACATCTCATTATATCTATCCTTATGTTACACCTTTTCTGTAAACTTGGTTCATTGATGCTTCACGTTTATAAACGATTTATTGTCTGTTTGGATGAACAGTAAAGACAGTATCTATCCTAACAAATTAATATGCCACTGAAAGAGCCTACAAAAATTAGATATCAGATTCCCACATTTAACCTGATTAGTATGCAAAATATTATTTTTTATGTTGTAATGTAATAATCGGTTGTCATGGTAATCTGTAAGTATTTGCATGTCAATCACTAGTGTGCTAAATAAATGAGCACTAAATTATTTTGAATATTTTGTATAAATCACTGTAAACAAATGTGATGCTTTAATTTGTGTCATTTTACCAAAGAAAATAAAATTATTTCAGTTTTACGGTACTTAAAAAATATTGGAGGTGGTAAAATATGTATGTTAAAGAAATAAATAATTACATATTTGAAATAAAGTATTTTAATCAGGTCACATAAAAAAAATTCAAATATACAATATACTCATATACTTATATAATAAGTTTTTAAATTAATACAAGCATTTGGTTTGTCATATTTAATTCACTTACAATAATATGTGTTTGTCTTTTAAAATTAAATACAAAATGAAACATAAATATTAAAAGGTATATAGGCCTACTCATGCTTTATGTTTGAAAAACTAGATATTTGGGACAAACTAATAAACTATGCAAATTAGGAACTTTGTCAAAGTCAGTAGATGGGAAATTAAGCCAATATCTAAATTAGAAAAATATAAATTGTTGTATAATTTGATAATATTTTTAGTATCTTAATATAAAATATTTCATATCAACAAAAGACCTACTATATCAATGATATTGATGAATTATAGCTTTATAGTTTATCCCTTTGAAAATCCAATAGGAATAGAAAATGCCAACCAAAATTCCAAATAATCATTTATAGGCCTATTTCATATATAAACAATCAATTATATTATATTATTTAAATGAACTAGAATAGTATATTTTAAATGTTAAATATATTCCTCAATTATAATTTAAAAAAATCTTAATATATATTTATATTTCTCAATTATTATGAATTTCTTTTTGTACTTCTAATTAAGCATATAATATTAATATATTTATTGTAGATTACATTTTTAAATTATGGAGCATGAATATTTAAATTGTAATTATATTTCTATGTGCATTAACATTAATTAATATTTTTAGGATAATTATATTTCATAATGATGGCAAAGCATTAATATGTTAAAATATCTCAAATATTCTAATGTATATAAACATGTTTATATTCATTTTGTTTGTATTTAATTGTGTAATTACCTTGAAAATATTAATTTTAATTTTGAATGTAAATATTTATGTTGATACAGTACAGAAAGAAGGTAGTTTGGTGAAATCATATTTGGAAAGATATGGAGGTTTCCACCGATGCCTTGCACCTGTGAATTGATATTTTTGTTTTCTCTGTTAGGGATTCAGAGTCCGCAGATGGGGTAGGCAGTCAGGCAGAGAGTAATAATGGGGCCGGCAAGAAACGTATCCCCTTTCGCTCTCTCTCAGCTGCACTCTTGTATGTGGTTTGTTCCTATTCTCTTCTATGCATATACCATGCACCCTTGGACTAACATTGATATCGACATCATCTTTGATTTTATTATATAATATATCTATTTAATATATAGAAATCTATTTTCATGTTATTGGGATACTTATATTCTTTTTCAATGTAATGTATATAAGTTTGCATTATACTATTTATAATTTATATTTCTACTAGTGGATTTATCCTTCATGTAGGATGGAATGAAGTACATCTCAATAGGAATAAATTATTTATTTTAAGTAGACCAATGGGATTATTTTACATTTCTATTTTATCATCTACTGTACATATTCATGTGGCTTCTGTAGCGTACGTTTTGGCCTCATCCTGTTAATTGAATTGCTTTCAAATATATTGTATCGATACATTCTTGTTGATGCGTTTTGTCCATTTTTGATTCTTTAACAAAAAAAAAAGAAATTATAGTAATGAATTTTATGTAATATATTCTCTATAATTAAAATGAGAATTTTAATAATATGTTTCGTTTCATAACCATGCATGTAGAGTATGCATGTTATTGTTATTTGCATGTCTTCTGTAGTGTGATTTTTTTGTACATGCTCTTCAGAAATGTTACATCAAAACCGACAAGTCAATTTACTCTTTCTCCAGAGATTCTTGATAATAATAATTGTGATGATAATAACAAAGAGAAATGGACACATTTTTTCAACAGGCTTGAAGAGACATGGAATGCACATTGCAATACATCTTCACTAAAATCACCTGATTATCACTGTTGTTTATGGAAATTTGTTTAATAAGGACATACTAGTAATTAGCTTTCATATCCATAAATCATGCTTCCCTGATCACAGAATCTACGGAAGACCTAAATATTTATTATCAAGAGACGCAGAATGCTATCTTGATTTTAAATATGAAAAATCCTGCTGTGGATATATCATGGTCACCTGAATTTCCACTGCTTCACAGCCTATCAAGAACATCATTTAGAAATACATGCCAAATGCTAAGGTTTAGTAATTTAAAAAAAAAAAAATTTTATTAATAGGATTACCTCATTTTAAAATAGTTTTTACTTATCTAACTTGAACAAAATGTATAGGTACTTAAACAGACTTGGCGTATCTGCATCCATATCATTTAATAGGTAAGCTGCTGAAGAAGCAACACCAAAAGGTATAAACCCTATCTATCTCTTTTATGCAAATAAGATGCATTTTTATCGTAAATATTTACTTTAAACAAAATTAAATGCATTACTTATTACACAATTTCATATCTGAATACATCAGTTACTGACTCAATTTAAAGGCAATTTAGATGCATATTAGTTTTAACAACTATTTCATTTGAAAATTTCTTATACATTTCAAATCGCATTAGACCCCATTAGTAATATTGACTATTTCAAATAGGAACATAAAGCAGACTTAATTACTTATTTTATGTAAAGTTACTACTATTATTATTTGAAAAGTAAACTAATCATGCTTAAAATAATTAAATTTTATAGCATTTATTTAGCATGTAAGTAATATAAACTGTTTCAAAGCATTTACTTTGAGTTTAAACTAAATGAATAAGTTACTATTTATATCTTCATTTAATATGCATTCACTTATTCTTTGTGAAGGAATCAGTAATACAAACAACTTCATTTTATATTTAAGAGAGCAGCTTAGCTTAGTCAGGTGGGTATCCATGCATTTGTGCGCTCAACGATGAAGATCCTTACAGAGTGAGACCATTATTGGTCTTCTGCAATTCCATTGCTGCTCTTCCATATTTCAGCTGAAGGGCTACAGTAGTGCAATGTCTCATCTTGATAATACATTTAAGACACTAATCTTGTGTGCAGTATGGCCCATGTGCACATTAAAAAATGCAGTACACTCTTCGAAAAAGAACAGGAGATTGTCCCCAGTGTACTCAGACTTTCATGGGTAATCCTTGATGTGTTTTACACCTAGAAATCCAATAAAATCAAATACAAGCAATTCCTTGTAAAGAAATTAGATTTAATACACAACTAGTACAGTCATCTTCCATTCACTAATAAAAAAAATAGTGCATAATGGAACTATTAGTGCAAGAATTGGCAAAAAAAATTCATTGGCTATGAATGATAAAGTATTACTCAAAATTTATTTATAACACAAAAATATTTCATTGAATACAAAATTATTACTAGTAAAGCAAATTATGTATGTTTTAAAAACTATATGATTATATTTTAATAAACCATTTACTTATTCATTTAAAGAAGGCTGTAGATGCATTAATAGCAAATTGGACTGTTCTATTTTTAAATGGAGCCATTAATTATTGAGCTAAAAGCGTAAGAGTTATGTCACTAATGTGGCATCAGCACTTTCAGGTTAAATCAAAGTAGTTGTTAATAATCATGGCTTCATTTCTTAATAAAATATTTATAAATTAATAATATTACCAATGTGTGTTGCATTTATTTATTCATCTAAAAGAAAATTAAACGTTAAAGCTACTAGCTAATTTCATATTAGACGCATACAAAGCGACAATTGGGATCTCTGCTTTAATGGTAAATATACTATATTCCTAACAAAGTGGATTAATGTTATTCAGCTATAGATAGGTTATTATGAAGTTAAAAAGGGCACTTTGGATGTCTGGCACTGGTCTTTATTATTCATAATCATATATATAAAATTATGGCAATATAATTTAATGTTAAGGGAAGGCTGCATGTTATAAACCATACATACATATTTGTAAATCTGTATTTAATAATAAATATATTTAAGAATTCATATAGGATCAATGATGATGATAATTAAAAGTACCTATAAACTGCTTTCATTGTGTTGCAAACACAAGTTGTATCTGACCAAGAAAAAAAGCAATACACATCCATTGTAGCTTTTTTGCTTCAACCCCCTTCTTTACCAAAAAGAAAAGTCCTTGGAAAATCGAAGAAAGTGGCCTGTGACCTTGTAGCTGTTTTCCTTTGTATTGAATATATGGTTGAATCATTTGCAGATACCTAATAAAAGGGAATATGTAGTGTACTATATATTACAATTATATCCCATGTATTAGCTTCAGTACAGAGGCTATTAACACTCCCAGTAGCTTTAGAATCATAATATAATGCACATATGAATTGCACTCACTGTCATGAACATAAATTACCCGATGCTAATCATGGAGCCAAAAATATTTAAGATGCATGTCTGTATTTATTGCAGCGAATTAAGGTATATTATCAGTCAAACTTAAGTTCAATGAAAATTTAGTTCAATTACAGCCGACAGTCGTATAAAACAGATATGTGTTTCTGCTTTGCTATTGCATATGAAAGATGAATGACATAGGTAGTTGTTGATGTTATGTTAATGATATAATGCTTAAGTGTGGAACGCAATAGAATATCACCGCGGCTTAGACAAGTTGGCTGTCAGTTTTTTCGTGAAACCTAAAGTACGCGAATTCATCAGAGCTTTTATTGTATCCACTCAACGCTCCTTGATATATGGGAAAACTGTTGATTATTTGCGCGTGACCTTTAAATTGACCTTTAACGTTTCATATTTACATTTTTTGTAATAATCAATTTATGAGCTGCTATATTTATTATTAGAAAATGTATATAAAACTGTATGTATTAAAAAAAAAATGTTTGATTTCCGTAAACATAAATTTCTTTTTACTGTCTGGCATCTAATTCAAGTTTAAATTTTTTTCGGGTAAAATAAGATTTTGCTTGAATGATATGAAAACAAATCTACTAGCTACTTGTTAGTAATTAGAGGTGGAAGTAGTGCATGCCTGATGCAATAATTTATTTTGTCACCTTTGACACTACACCATAAAAAACGTCACAAATATTATCAATCTCAATCTCGCTATATACATATTTTTTTCAAATCATATTGCCAATAGTTTGAAGGTATGTTTACACATAAGATTAGGTGACATACTGCTGATCATTTTGTATCATACCTTATAAATAGAATGTATATTACATTATATAAATGATGGCGGTAATTTCTTTTACAAGTGTAATGATGCAAACATCTACTAATAATATCTGGATTTGGTTCAGGTTATGAAAAATGGAAAATCATCATAAATTTTAAAACTTTATATTTTAAAAAAATAAACAAAAAGTGTGGTTAACTGCCTAAATTAAATTTTTATTTGTGGTTATTAAATGTCAAGAATTGAAAAATCTGGTTTTAGGCAAACATTTACAAATAATATCTGAATATGTTCAGGTTATGAAAGATGGAAAACCATTATAAATTTTAAAGCTTTATATTTTAGAAGAATAAAACATGTGGTTAACTGGCTAAATTAAATTTTTATTTGTGGTTATTAAATGTCAAGAATTGCAAAATCTGGTTTTAGAAATTTTCTGTGTGATTTTTATGATGTTTATATTACTACAGTATATTCCCATTAGTAATAACTCAACAATGAAAAAAAAAATAGGGAATAGGGATTGAGCATTTTGTGCTTATATATACTGAATTCTAAAAAAAGTTTGACAAGTTATTAATAATTTCCATTTCAAGTTATTAAATGTAAGATTTAAACATGGACCATGAAAGTATGTGAGTATTAGTAGCCAATCACCTTAGCAAGTAGTGAAGGAATTCAGTCAGTGAACTAAAATAGGAATAGCAAGTATATATTATATTGACTACTTTAGTCATTTACATCATTAACACAGTGTGTTTATGACTACTGTA